TAAAAAAATACAATTTATCATGATGGATCTTCGGTGAACATACTCTTCAAACCATGTTTATATACAGGACAAACAGATGTGTGTGTGTGCGGCTGAAGAGATGCTGACAGTCTTTGGTAGAAACACAAGGAGACATTTGATGCAGATCATTCAGATGATCAAGCCAAACCAAATCCACTCCGTCCAAAACCTCTGTCAGCCAGACCACAAGCCTGAAGACAACATCTCTGTTAAACCCCACAGTTACAGGGGGAGCTTTCAGCAGATCTGGCTCAATACACAAACTGCACCTCTTAAAAGGATAAATCTCACAAAAATGTCCAGATCATATTCCATCTCCATTAGAGAGAGAGAAAAAAGTAACACTTTACAATAAGTTGGGTCACATAGATTAGTTAATGCATGGTACCATAAGGGGGGGTACATTTTACAGCATTTATAATTCTTGGTTCATGTCAATATTGTATATCTATCTATATATATATCTATCTATATATATATATATATCTATCTATATATCTATCTATATATATATATATATATATATATATATATATATCTGTCAATATATAAGTATATACATATTTAAAATACACATACATCTCATTAGTTAAAATGAAGTTAAATATGTGGAAATTAATTCATAATAATATCTGTATTGTTTGTTCATGTCAATATTGCATTAATTAATGTTAGTGAATACAACCTTATTATAAAGTGTAAAAAATATATTTGGCGTCAAGAAAATTGAGAATTTTGAAGCATTTATTTTTAGTTGAGACAGATTTTTTTATTACAGTTAAGCATATTCCCCCATTTTCATTTTTTGTAATATGAATAATTGTAATTATTTTAATTACTGTACGATTTTTATATATGTTACTGCAGTGAGATTTGGTGGGAAATTGTGCAGATTTTTAAGTGGTCTTAATGGGCCAAAAAAAACGGTCTCCATTGTCTTTATGCATTTTTTTCATATACAAATAGAACATTTCTTTTATGAGATTCACCCAAAAATTATAATACACCTAGTTTGACAGGCGAATAGAAAAGGCAAAAGTACAGTAAGGAAGAGAGGATAAAAGACAGTAAACGTTTAGCCACTCAGAAAGAGGAGTGGAAGACAGACAGACAGAAGGCACACTGCTTTTAAAAGCATAATTCAGTTAATAATGTTACAGTATCAAAAACCTGGTCAATCAGGAAGACCGCCGAGAACTGAAGTCACGTGACCACCTCACTAAAGATGAGGTCAAAGGTGACAATAACGCAAGAGGACCGAGTTAATGGGAAACAGAGGAGTGGTTTATCGTATTACAGTGCGCACACACACCAAGGACAGGACAGGACTATGAAGTTCGAATCAAATATGACTAGATGATGATAGAAAATGCGCGGATACAGAATGTTAGTGAATCACAACAGGTTTCTGTTGCCAAAAACGTTCTGGGGGTCCACATACTCCTTCACTGACTTGAGCATGCCGAGCCCCACGCCGGACACGCTCTCTTTCATCCATTCCTTCCGGAGTTTTCCCACTGCGAGAGAGAGAGAGAGAGAGAGAGGGATTGAGCAGACGTGTGTGGCAGACAGCAGGACGTGAATGGCTCTCGTGTGCGAGCGGCTGTAAGCAGTGGATGATGGATGTTGTGGGGTGGGTGGCACTGCTGAAACGCTGAGATGTTTTGCATGATGTGATTTATGGAGAGCAGCAGACTATCAAACTCATTAAGCTGCCTGCGCTCCCAGCGGAGAGAGAGAAACTCTTCCTCTGTCTGTCTGTTTGTCTGCTTCTCTCGTCTTCAGACTAAATACCACAAGCTTCCACCCAACATACATCAACATCAACTAAATGATCACACAACTTTACCAAAAAAAGAATCATTAAAAAATAAAGCAATACCAAACAACATATCAAAACTACTTGTAACCACAATTCAAAAAAATGTTATGACACTCAATCATAAAATAAATGAATAAAATGAATCGTGGATAGCTGCCAGGGTGCTGTTCTGAGCATAACTCTATTAATCACGATATTAAAACCTATAAGCTGATAATTAATTTCAAGTTGTGACCAATAAATGGCTGATATTCAAATTCTACACAAATTTGTTAAAAATAAATAAATTAATAAATAAAACACTCGATTTAAACGCTTCAAGAGAATTTAGGCATCACAACATTATATTTTAGTTTGAAAATGGATATTAATTTCAAGATTTGTTAAAGATTACAATAAACAGTGTTATTAAAGACTATTAAATTATCAAGTCATTATTACTATTGTTGTTGTTATTATTACTACATCATTATTATATAATTATTGTGAACTTTAAGTGTTAGATGAAGGAAAAAGTAATTTAAATACAAAAATAGGGGAAATGAGCATAAACGATAATCCAGTATCATCCAATGCAGATACATTTACATTAAAAAAAAAATCAAATTAATAAGAATCGGTTTTATCAGCAAAAGTCACACTTGAAATTCTCTTAACGGATAATAAAAACTAAAACCCATTTCCAACAAGAATATAATATAATATAATATAATATAGATTTCTTTCCCACATCATTAAAACAATATGTCCTTTATGAGTGTTCGGTTAACATAAAACCACACAACATATTGTTTGTGAGAGCAGCAGTTTAGGGAACCTTGATGTCCCCATCTCCTCTCTCTTTCGGTCTCACACGTTTAATATGATTGATAAGCGAGCAGACGGCATTTCGTCATAATACGTTACTGTTTGAGAAGGAGGCTCGCTATTAGCAACACCCCAATCTGGGACTCTCTCATACATATGCAAATAGGTCTTGCGGCGACAGAGCCAGTCATCTTGCATGAAAGAACAGACGGCCGGCCCACCGAACACACAGCAAGCCAATCAGGAGGGGAGCACATTGGCCCCTCCTCATACCCCCAGTGGTGTATTTGTGTCTCTGCTGGGCGGCAGACAGAAACAGAAGGAGGCATGACTGCATCATTGCCTCCATCACGGAGATAATTTACACATCTATCATCTCGCCATCAGCCCATATTCCCGCGCTCTCTTTCCATCACTATCCTGTCACTATTCATCTCTCATAACCACTTTCACACAGCTGAGACATGCAAAAAAATAAAGCCAGAGACAAAAGCATAGATGTGTGTGTCCAATAATGGCTGAATAAAACGGAAGTGGTCTGAGTGTGTTTAGGGCTGATGCACTCATTTCCCCTATAACCCCTGGTCTTCACCTGCACAAACACGCACATGCTGTTCGTACTCCTACGCTATCCTCAGGCGTGCGTTTACACATGCTGTGCTCTGGGATCAGCTCAGAAGAAATCTTTAACCATGTCTGCCTGGTGCCAAACAAACAAACCCAAAAAACAAAACTCCTGCAGCGAAGTCCAACAAGAATTCTTAGAATCCGGGTCACGGCACCAAAAAAATTAAATGTTGTACTTCGTTGCGGTCACATCAGTCTAAAACATATCACTACTACTAGAGATGATGGGCAGCAGAGGTGATAGATGTTCTGGTGAGCGCTGGAATGTTTTATTCACTTTAGTGTATCGGTTCGTTTAGACAGTTCATTTCACAACTCACAAATGATTCATGAATCATTACTTTCAAAATGTTCTCGGAAGCCCTTTTTTTGTAGTTAAATTTTTATCAGTTCTGTTTGCTAGGTTTGCTTGGTTGTTTAATTTCAATAAACACAAAGTAAACAAATAAACAAACAATTCATTTAATTATTTGAGTTATTACTTCCAAAATATTTTACGAAGCCATTTTTTTGTAGTGAAATAAATGTTTAGTTAGTTCTGTGCATGCTACATAACAAATGCAAAAACAAGAAACAAATTCTCAACATCCACTTATTTCAAGCCTAAAAACGGAACCAATTATTTGTTTTAAATTTAACAGAAGTCCACGAAACCTACAGCTGAAACAGTATATTGTGACGGCTTTAAAACTGAGAAATATATTCACAGCTGAATATTGAGGAATACTCAATACTTTTCAATACTGTACTTACCTCCACTTGTTCGTAGACGTGAACTGGATCACTCAGACCCCGGTAATTAAAGGCAAAATAGAAATACACACAAGCACCTGCGTCATACGTCTGTGTAACTCTAGAAAGAGGAAAACCAAGTTACAATGATTTCAAGTTCTTCTGGGAAGTTCCTACTTAAAGATGCACTTAGCAACATTTTGTTATATTGCACTGGCCGATATGCCGTCCGCTTATACTGACACCTAGTGGTGTGGATGTAGCATCATGCAACAGTGTTATTTTTTCAGTTACCGATGCAAAAATGTGCCATTAGCAGTCAGCCATGATTATTTTTTTTTTATATATATATTTCATATTGTAAAATATCTGTTGTCTTAAACTTATTTTTAATTGACCTATTTATTAAAAATACTGAGTGCACTTTATATAATCATGTACATTTATATAATTACATAATTATGTGCATTACATAAAATCTATGCACTGATTTCAAGTTGTTGGGTTTCCTAAAAAACGAAGAAGCTGGACAAAATGTAGCTGGTTACATTATTATACATCAGTTAGTTGTTCATTTCTGGCAAGATTTTTAGCCATTCTCCATCAATGGTACACAAAAAGCATGCAAAATAAATTGTACAGTTCATTTTCACAATCATGTTACAAATATATTACAAAATATAGATTCTATTTGACCAAGGAAGACAAAAAGTCAAATCTAAAAATCAAAATTGAAATTAAACTAGAACTCAATTTTTGCTCAATTTCATTTAGTTTTCTATTTTTCTTGGTATACACACCTCTAATCACTGATTTCCAAGAGGATCAACAGAGTTTGATGTTTCTATAATCAGTTATCTTAACGGTCTTCCTGCTAAATCAGATTTACGGCTCCTTCCCACCTCCACCAAACCATTCAGACAGAGACAACAGAAGTGTCTAAGAGAGTGTGGGCAGCAGTGAGCGACAAACAGAAAGTGCACAGGGCAAAGCATCGCACTGAGCATTTACCTGTCCCACGGCACAGACGTCTCAAACGACTCTCCGATCACATAGTAGTCCATTCCCAAATCCTGCACACATACACACAGATGTTTTTTGTAATGTATTCTATTGTTCACCAAAGATGCATTTATTTGTTACATTTTATTTTATTTGTTACAATTTAAAATAATAATAATACCTTTATAATACATAAATAATAAATATTTTTAAATCTTAATATATTGTAAAATATAATTTATTCCTTTGATGCAAAGCTGAATTTCCAGCATCATTACTCCAGTCTTCAGTGTCACATGATCCTTCAGAAATCAGTCTAATATGCTGATTTGTTGCTCAGGAAACATTTCTTATCATTATCAATGTTACCAATTCTTAATTTTTTTTTCAGGATTTTTTAATGAATAGAAAGTTTAATAGAACTGCATTTATTTTAAATATAAACTTTTGCAACACTATGAATGTCACTGCTGTCACTTTTGATCAATTTAATGTGTCCTTGCTGAATAAAGTATTAATTTCTTTCCTTAAAAAAATCGTACTGAACCCAAACTGAACCAATGCCATTAAAACACACATTTAGGGTTAGCCATAAAAAATAAGTTTTATGAAGGTGCATTTTTGGGTCCTTTGAAGTCTGTTGTAATTAAGGAGAGTAAATCAGTGTGAGGAGTTTCATAACACACCCGCAGATACGCGATGACAAACGTCAGCATGTAACCCCTCTGACCATTATCCTCGCCTGCTGCCAGACCCCTACAACACACACACACACACACACAGTAACAAAACAGAGTACAGGTCACTGGGAAGCGAAGGGGAAATATATATATTATCAGCACAGTCAATGTTGCCAAAGAAAATCATGAGGCATTTGTGTGTGGTCATGCAGGCAGACATTTCCTGCATGAACACACACACACACACACACAGGTTTACATTTGTGAAAAGTGGGGACATCCCATAGGCGTAATGGTTTTTATACTGTACAGACCGTATATTCTATTGCCCTACACCAACCCTACCCCTAAACCTACCCCTTACAGGAGACTTTGTGCTATTTCAGATTTTCAATACACTCCATTCTGTGTGATTTATAAGCGTTTTGAAAAGTGGGGACATGGGGTAATGTCCTGAAAAGTCACCTTCTCCTTGTAATACCTATGTCATATCTTTGTTATTATACAAATGTATGTCCTCATTTGTCACAAAAACGCGCACACACACACACACACACACACACACACTCACTCACTCACACACTCACACACACACAGAAGTAGCGGATCAATAAGGTCAGCTGTGGGATTCTCTTCTATCAATCACAATCAGCCTCTAATTAAATATTCTCAAAATCAACACAAGCTTTAATGCAGAAATCATTCAATCTGTTCACTCTTCTCCTCACACACCCATCACTGCCACTGAAAGAGCCGTGATGAATGAGGGAGAATGAAAAGACAGAGACAAACGCTCGTGCTTCTGTATACAATCGGTGAGATCAGTTAAGGTCGGGGTCACGACCCTTAGGACCTTTACTGGTGAAACAGTAACTCTGGTTCCATAGAAACAGCACAGATTAGAAGAACACACAAAAATGAGCCATTTCTTACCCAAACTTGGCTGCGATGTCGTAAACCTGTTTCTCGTGCTGCAAAACCTTCCCACGATCCCCCTCAAATAACAGTGTAGCGACACAAAGGTGGTGCGGGTCAAATCCTTTAAACTGAGAGCGGTATTGCATGGTTAGACAACACAAAATCAAAATTGATCAGTAGAAATTATTCTGAAAAAAAAAAGTGAGAATTTATCATCAAAATGTATGAGCCTTTGACATTCTCTTCCTCTAAAATTAGTTTTCATTTCTGTTTTTATTTCAAGGCTGTGTGGGTGGGGGAAAACAATATTCCCCAATAATATCATAGCCTACTTTTCACAAGGCAATCAAATCAGTGGATAAAAATCAATAGCAATATTTCTTGCTTTGACTGCAGAATGACTGCGCAAGTATTTCAGAGAGCAGAGCAGTGTAATAGCTGTACAGATAAACACTGAAATCCGGCAGTAGCTGTGATGTCAAAAACTACTCACTGTTCAATATACTACAATGTTAAATAAAGATAGTAAACCAAAAAAGTCATATAAAAGTCCTCAAAATGATGTATGTGTACAAAACACACACACACACACACACAAATAATAATACTCAAACAAAGCAAAGCAAAAACAAAAAAATAAACACTTATATTTCAGTTCTGATGGTCTGATTCTGCTCACTCCATCAATATTCAATCGACCAATTTAAGGAGGAACATACTAGGATGTTTCATTTCAAGGCTGTGTGGGTGACTAAAACAATTATTAACCAATAATTATATAGCCTACTTTTCACGAGCTGATTATATCAGTGCATAAAATTAAATCTTGCAAATGCTTCTTGCTTTAAACGCAGAATACTGTGATTGACCAATCAGAATGGAGCGTTCTAGAGAGCGGTGTAATAGTATCTAATTGTGGTCTTGACACACATTTACGGTTCTTTCTCACCTTTGTGATGTAGAATTTTTTCAACCCGTCCAAGAATGACGTGAATATGGAGGACACTTGTGGCTTGAGTGCGTGACCTGTCAAAACATTAGTAAAATCTTCAATAAACCTCAGTATTAAATACCCAATCATTTTGTTGTCAGGGGTTGTGTTTTCAGTCAAAAGCTTTCCTCTTTTTAAAAAAGGAGAAACGAATGACTCTCGTACCGTTCTAATGTCACCAAACATCCCTCAGTTTTGCCCCTTGGATTTCCCAGAGGCCTTTGTGTCAGATGTATTAGCGGTGTGAACAATAGCACAGTAATGACTGGAGACACAGAGAGAGAAAGAGCGAGAGGGAACGCAGGGAGGATGTTTCACAGGGGGCTTGTCATAAATCATCCTGATAGCAGCTCCTCTGATAAGAAACGCCGCTAAATCTCACACACACGGTCCGATTCACCGCAGAACGAACAAAATCTCCGATTAATTCAAATCGACTGAAAACTGACATGAATCTGTGTGAGAAATTGATCAAACATGCTAGTAATGTCCAAGCTCATGGCTCATGTTGTGTCCACTCACACTCCCCCTGTCTCTCGCTATCATTTCCCATCTGCAATACAGTCTCTCAGCGCTGGGCGCTATGATGATGCCATTCAATAGTAGAAATGTGTCTTCTGGTTTTGCAACATCACTCGTACCTTGGTACATATATTTGCACGGCTATCAGTATTTACGCACATGAATGACTAAGAAACATACAGAAATGTGACAAAACAGAGTGGGACGCGTCCCAAATAAGTCATGAAGACTTAAGTAAGGCATCTAAGTGAATTTAGTTTTAGTTTGTGGATGCTGTATAACGTCACAACTTGCTGCATTATTAAAAATTCAAGAGTTGTACAGTTACAGTGTGCATATTAGCTATTTTGCAACAGCTTCAATTATACTTCACCCAATCAGAATTAGGCCTAAACAAAATATTTATAAAAATGCAGTATCTTTACTCATTTTGTAAAATGAGCATAAACTTTAATTTTTAGTTTAAGTTTTTAAGTTTTCAAAATGTGTCCTTTTTTTGTAGTTTGGCATAATAAATAAAATAAAAATACTACTACTAATAATAATAATAAAAGAACATGATCCATTGAGTCGTAGTTCCTTTAATTTACATTTGTCACCCTGGACCACAAAACCAATCATAAGGGTCAATTTTTTAAAATTGAGATGTATACAATAAATAAGCTTTCCATTGGTGTATGGTTTGTTAGGATAGGACAATATTTGTTGGAGATACAACTATTTGAAAATCTGTAATCTGACGGTGCAAAAAAATCGAAATATTGAGAAAATCATCTTTAAAGTTGTCCAAATTAAGTTCTTAGCAATGCATATTACTAATCAAAAATTAAGTTTTGATATATTTACAATAGGAAATTTACAAAATAACTTCATGGAACATGATCTTTACTTAATATCCTAATGATTTTTGGCATAAAAGAAAAATCGATAATTTTGACCCATACAATGTATTTTTGGCTATTGCTACAGATATACCTGTGCTACTTTGGTTTTGTGCTCCAGGGTCACATATGTATTTAATTCACTGAATTACCCCAAAACAGGCATTACCACAGTTAGGCAATACATACATATTTTTTTTTCATTAATTCCATCAATATAAAGTCTGGGGTCATTCATTAATTATTTGTTATTATTTTTATTTTTATTTTTAATACTTTATTACTTTTATTCTGTAAGGGTGCATGAAATTGATCAAAAGTGATAGTTTTATAATACAGACTCCTACAGTATCTCACAGAAGTGAGTACACCCCTCACATTTTTGTAAGTATTTTATTATATCTTTTCATGTGACAACACTGAAGAAATGACACTTTGCTACAATGTAAAGTAGTGAGTGTACAGCTTGTATAACAGTGTAAATTTGCTGTCCCCTCAAAATAACTCAACACACAGCCATTAATGTCTAAACCGCTGGCCACAAAAGTGAGTACACCCCTAAGTGAAAATGTCCAAATTGGGCCCAAAGTGTCAATATTTTGTGTGCCCACCATTATTTTCCAGCACTGCCTTAACCCTCTTGGGCATGGAGTTCACCAGAGCTTCACAGGTTGCCACTGGAGTCCTCTTCCACTCCTCCATGACGACATCACGGAGCTGGTGGATGTTAGAGACCTTGCACTCCTCCACCTTCCATTTAGGTCAGGAGACATGCTTGGCCAATCCATCACCTTCATTATACAACAATGTATAATGTTACCAAAAATGCTGTTCTTTTCAACTTTCTATTCATCCATTTCTAATCCTGAAAAAGGTTTCTAAAAACATTCACTCCGTACAACATCAGAACGATTTCTGAAGGATCATGTGACACTGGAGTAATGATGCTGAAAATTCAGCTTTGATCACTGGAATAAATTATATTTAAAAATATCTTCAAATAGAAAAGAGATACTTTTAATTGTAATAATATTTCACAATATTACTGTTTTTACTGCATTTTTGAATAATAAATACATTCAATAAATAGTGTACTTTACCATGATATAAAATGACTTAATCCGGAGACATAATATTTTGATCATAAACTTTGCGGTACAGTAACACTTACATAGAACAGATTTTCAGTCATTTCAGTCACATTCTGCACCAGCGACCTTTAGTTGTTCAAACCCTTACAATGCCTTTCTGAGATTACACAGCCAATGTGTCTGAACGCACTACAACACTCATTACCTCCCATTTTCTTAGATATAAAAATAATACAGTCACACTTCTGGGCTTAAAGAGTGTGCATGCTGCAAAAACCATTATGAGTACAGAGACTGGAGTCTTCATTAAAGAGTCAATACATCTCTCTGCCTCTCAGAAGTGCACCGTCGATGAAAACACAGAGCCGAAACAGGAGTTAATGAGATCCCTGGGGACGGGGGGAACTTTTCCAGATATATCTGGCAACCCCTCGCAAATTCCCCCATATCTCCGCATGTAACGTTATAAACCTCGGCTGCACTGTGAGCTTAATTGCTGCCAGGGCCATTTTTCATTGTTCCTGAATTGTGTGTTTGTGCATTCGTTCGCTGCTCAGCTGGTAAAATAAAGATCAATTTCTCTTTATACGAGGCGGCGCGAGTGGGGGGTTCTCCAGAGATAAATTACTCCAGACCAAATTAAACCTCTAGATGTAATGAATATACAAAACAACAACAAGTAATAAAAACCAAAACAAAGCTCTCGAATGCTAAATCTTCCAATTCATCTCTGTGGATGGGAATATGAAAACAGATAACTGTCTCTAAAGCCAGAAATGGATCGTAACTGATGGTTATGGAAACACAGGCTCTCTGTGCTCTCAGTTTTCCTGTATTACATGACCAGCTCATAACGCTCAGGTAATGTTCGGTTATGAATATACAACGCTAGAGGATATTATGTACCCGTCAATGACTGGAAATAGAAATAGTCTAACTAAACAATGATGTCACTCAGTTCAGTGTGGTGGAAATGGTGTTTGTGACGTCACAAAATGATGACGGCTTAGCTCATGAATATTAATTAGGCTTTGCACAAATAATTTAAAATGATAAACTGATTTTGAAATCAGGTTTGTGGCAGAGTAGTTACTCATTCTAAACTGAAATGTAAAGAATAGCATTAAGATTACTGTATAAATGTTCAGTAAACAAAAAAAAATAACATTATGATTATTTTACAAATATGATTTTACAGAAGAATTACGTAATGTACACTACCATTTAAAAGTTTGGGGCCAGAAAGATTTTTTGGAAAGGAGGAAATTATGTTTATTGAACAAAAGTGACAGTAAAGGCATTTATAATGTTACGAACCATTTCTATTTCAAATAAATTCAGTTCTTTTGAACTTTCTATTTATAAAAGAATCCTGAAAAAATGCATCACAGTTTCCACTAAAATATTCAGCAACACAATTGCTTTGATAATAATAATTATTATTATTAAGCATATTAAATGATTTCTGCAATGAATATCAATGCTATTTTTCTAACATATTTTATTAAAATATTAATATCTTCATTCGCACATCAACCAGTGTCTGTTCCGGTATTTTGCGTCATGCATGAATCAGCAATTGCACATTAAATCTGATTTGTTGGTCCAGCAGTAATGTTTGAACTTTGAGTAAAACATAACCCAGGTTCTAACTTAATATAACAGTCCTGTTGTCTGAACAATGACAGAGGGGTGCAGGGAGGAAGTGGCACTATGAGTGTTCAGGACCATGATTATTTTTAAAATACACGCGCCGTCTTTAAGAAAGCATCTGCTATGCACATAAGCGTGAATGCAAATTGCAAAACATTGCTTCCCAAAGCAAACAGATCACTGCATGTGTAACTGCTCTTTCTGGCTGGAGATCAGCCCACACAGGACACAAGGTCTACTACTCGCCAGCCCTTCTGAGTCAGCACTGTAACCATGAAAACACACCCTGCGCACTCCCACACGGCATGCTTTGCGTCACCGTTTTCCCTTCATCTTGGCCCGCTCCTTCGTAAAACATTTTCTGACGATCCCAGCAACCGCAACATTTTCGACCAATGATTTTACATGACTTTCCCAATCATTCGTGATGACTGGATAAGACTTTATTTTAAATTACACTAAATTCAATTATTAGAAATTGAATAGAAAAAATAGAAATGTATTACTTTTTCATTATTTAAACCAGGGATTCCAAACTTTTTAGTCACCTTTGACATGAAATATTTTCTTGAAGTAACCCCTGAGAATAAAAGGATAGTTCTCTCACTCTCATGTCATTCCAAATCTGCACGACTAGCATTCTTCTGTTAAGAAGATATTTTAAAGAATGTCGGTAACCAAATGGTTTGATGAACGAAATTATTTCCACTGTTCGGACAAAAAAAAAAAAAGTCAATGGGACCCGAAACAGTTTGGTTATCCACATTCTTCAGCTTGGAAAACCCTAATTTAAAGGAATAGCTCACCCCAAAATTTCTTCCGTTTCAAGCAAAACTTTATACTAACTACGAAGTCAGAAAAGACGTGGATCTTTTGTACTTGTTCACACGGTTCAAATCAAGACTGAAAGAGTTTAGTGATCCAGTTCATGAGTTCACAGACTCCACCATCTGGTCACAACTGACCAGAAAATCCTTATTCGTTGATAATATTTAGCTAAAAGCTCAATGGAAGGGAAGATTATCAGCGTCGCTTGGACTACTGCTGCTTTGTTGTGACTTTTTTTGTTCCTTTCTGAAGCTACCCTCACTATGAACAGTCACTGTAAAAGAGCGGTGTAAAGACTCTTCAAAGTATCTTTTATGTTCCACAGAATATGAATGAAAAACAAAACTCACCAAACTGAAACTGCTCGTTGTCCATTAGCCGAATGGATGCTGGAGCGCATCTCTGAAACAAAAAATAAAGAAAACGAAACTTCAGACAGAAACAAAGTAATACATGGAGATGTATAATGACCCTCACCCATAGTTTAAAACAAACCTACAATATTATTATCATTGCCCGGCAAGTATTTTTTAGGAAACATCTACACAACAGCAAGATGATATTCCAATTAAAACAAAGCCTTATTTTTTTAAAGGCAGCCTTGGGCAAAGAGAGGAACAGTGTAGGTCCTGAATAGCATAATCAATAATTTAATTTTAAGTTTGGATCACAGTTTGTTTATGGACTAATAAGAAGCAGTGCTGTACAGAACGCTAACACTGCGCTCGCTCATCAATAACGGCTACAACATCAGCAGCAGGCCCACAAACTAATGAGAGGCCGAGATCTAAGGCCATTAGGCAGAGTCTGAGCAGAGCTCCAGGTACACACACTGTAATGAGAGCCGCAGCCTTATTCACCACATTCACACAGATCCCAGCCTTCCAGTCAATGCTGCTCTCAAACAGACATGCCATAGCAGCACTCAAATACACACAGCAGTTATACGGCATGAAAGACGTGCAGATACACAATATATCAGATAAGATTCTAGTAAGCCTAAATCAGTTAATATTTTATAACATAATTATACCAGTGTAATTTATATTTTTGGTATAGCCTACTTAATGCTAAATACATACAGTAGCATTCAAAGGTCTGAGGTCAGCAAGATTTTTTAAAGAAGTTCATACTTTTATTCAGCAATGAAATCAAGCTGAAAAAAGTGAAAGGACATTTATAACGTCACGAAAGATTTCCATGTTAAAATGCGCTAGCAATTTGTTAAAACATGCCATCACGCTGAAACATCCAAGCAGCATGCTAACGTGTTAAAATGT